TACAACAATTACGATGGTCAAGTGATTGGATCATTGAGATTATATTGACCATCGATTTTAAAAAGAGATTAGAATTCATGAATTTTTCAAGATTAGTAAACCTATGGTTCATGAAATTTTCATGAATTCAATGTTCGTCCAAACCAATTGGTTAAGTTATAATAAACAATTTGTTTGGTTTGATTTGATTAATAAAATAGTCATATGTTGAGCATGATTTTTATTCTTTTAACCAAAAAACGGTTTGGTTCTAGTTCAACTAAGATAAAGATACAAAATTTTGATATCATCAAAATTTGAATATACGACATTTTTAGAGAAGTTATATAAGATAATAATCCGAAACTAAATTTTATAATAAATAAAACAAAAAAATATATTTGATCATTATTTTTAGAGAAGTTATATAAGACAATAATCTGAATTTAAGTTTTATAATAAATAGAGAAATAAAAAATTTATTTGATCATCACTAAAAACTGATTTTATGTTTAAAAATATATTAGACACATAACTTTCTAATTTTATTCAGTTTTAGTAAGGATACTATAGTAAATTAGTTTTTGAAAAAGTGTATTTTTCAAAAAATTAAAAATATGGTGTAGTTTTCAAATTTAAAAACAGAAAGAGTGTATTTTTCCAAATTTTCTCTAAATTTTTTTCTTAAATTACGAATTTACCATCATCATTTTCTATATGGTTTTTACTTTTTACTTTCTTTTTTCTTTTGTCAACATGTGGTTTTTACCCAAAATTATGTAGGGTTAATTGCATGAATAACCAAAAAAAAAATTAATTAAAAAATAAGTAAAATGAGGGTATGTGGCAAAATCATAACCATTGGATGTAGGGTTTTTGGTTAGATTTTAGGTTATAATTTTTATTTTGTGTTATTGTTACGAGTTTCCCAATTATGTAATCTAGCTACTTCATCTTTTAAGAGTTTAATTCCACCATCTTCCATCTCCTCGGTGAGATTGGTCGTATCTTCTTCTCTCTTTTGGAGAGTGGTTGAATTCCCGAGGTATATGCCGGGTTCTTCAAAGTCACAATGGAAAGTGACTACTGTGAGACTCTCCGGCCTTGCCGCGAAGATCCTCTTGATGCATCCGAGGCATGCTTTGGATTCGTTGTCCATCTTCTATGATGATATATCTG